TTTTTTTTTTTTCCTTTCTTTTTTTACACTATGCACTCTATTGTCTTGTTTTGTCAAGGATATGTTGTATCCTGAAGAAAAGGGTTCAGGAAGCTCCCCCAGTGACATGTCAGCTGATTCAGTAATCTTCAGGTATGGAAAATAAAAATATGAGAATGCAATATAATCAATATTATCACCTTCTGTTCAATTGCAACCCGCAACCCTGAGGAGGATCAGCAAAAGAGAAAGGATGGATTGTTTACTAATTTACCTCTTTGTTTTCTCCCAGGGATTCCTGTGGCGCTTCATCAGAACCTGTGGCGCAGACCTGTAATTCGTCAAAAAACTCCAAGGTTCAGGTCTTGTATTACCTTTCACACTAACAGTGCTATTTTGAGTAAAAACTTTAAAAGCGGCCAGTGTGTCGGAGTGACTCCAAGGTCCAGTCTGAAATCCTCCTAAAAACAAGAAGATCAAAGATTGAGTGAAACCTGAAGAAACTGGCAGTAAAATTTGACAACACATTTGATGTTTCACGCACACTGTCCTATTTTAAATCGAACGTGAATATTAGAACAAAAACAAGTTCTTTTTCTGACTTCAGTGTTTTACTATGGGAATTGCCTTGGCGTAACCAACTATGGAAGCTCCAATGACAACCCATCTGTCCATGACAGACCTGTCAAGCTGAGCTCAGGACTCCGCCCCCTTATTCTAACTCGCCGACCAGCGCCTCCTAACTCATTGTTGCTTTCTTACCGTGAAAAACTACTTTGAGTTTCCTTAGCGTGTCCAGGCTAACTTGATTAGGTGCTTAACAGTTCTCCCTTGTCCTCTATAGGAGTATATCGCAGAATGGTTTTTCCAGTCCCAGTTTGGATTATGGTAAATCCTTTGGAAGAAGTCCACTTATAGTTACACTCTGTTAAACAGCTGTGTGGTGTCAGGCAAGTTGTTCCAGCAGTTCCTGGTTTTGTTTGGCGAGATGGCTGATGTTTGTGTCAGGCAATTGCGTTATAGCGAGTCTTGTATGGTTGCTAAACATGCTCAGTCTGCCAGTAAACATGCTTTACAGGCGGACCCCATGAGAGTCTTTGGGACATGTGGACAGAAGTGCTGGGTTCAGAATATCAGATCAGCTGTTTGTTTCCTGGGCCTCCCCTGACAAGGGCAGGCTCCTGTAACGCCGCAGGCTAGCTCAGTGGATTGTAGAGGCCATAGCTCTGGCTTACAGCTCTAAGGGCTCATAGGCCTCCTGGGACTCCAAACTCATTCTACCATTGGTATTGTCACATCCTCAGCTTTGTTCAGAGGTGTATCAGTCCAGGATATATGTGCCACACATTTGTATTTTTGTGGGCTGGATTTTAGGGCTGCTACAAACGACTATGTTGATAGTTGGCTAGTCAACAGTTTTTTGGGGGGGATTAGTCGACTAATCAGATCATGCGTACATTGGACGTAAAACGTACAGCTTATTGCACCAGCGTGCGTCTGCTCTTATATAACAATCATTAGCTTACAGCTTTACGTGTTTAAGGTATTTGCTAACTAAAAATAAAGACAAGATGATAGAACATTTTTAAATGATCTGAACGACTTACATTCTTGCTTGTAAATATCTTAAGTTTATTTTGTGACCCAGAAAGATTAATATTTAAACTAAGTAGCTGACACCATTGTTGGGATTGGCTGGGCCACGCTATGAATTCTGGGATAGGTTGGGCCATGAAGGATACACCCGACCCATCCTTCAAATCTGGGGAAATGAAGGCCGCATTTGGAGGAGTCTTCAAGTTTGCACAGTCTTCGTTGTGTCGCTGTAACGTAATCGGCCTACAAACGCAGCCTCCAAGGATGCGGCCCCTGAATTTGGACACAGCTATGATACCGGAGACTGCTGCTTCTTTTTCTTCTTTCATGTTTAGTGGCAGCTGGCATCCTTGTACATGCAGTGCTGCCATCTTATGTTTCAGTACGTTATTACACTTTTAAATCCTACTAGTTATTCCTGCATTTTTCAGGAGCTTACAAAGCTTCAGACACGTCGACTATTAAATTAGTGGTTGACGATTTTGATAGTAGACGTAATTGTGACAAGTCGACTAATCGTGGCAGCCCTACTGGATTTTTGCATAGTTAACCCTGACTCAGGCAGTGCTGGAATCTAGTGCCTAAGGTGTGACCTGAGATTCTGTGCTATACCTGGTGTAGTCCTGGAGCGTAGCTTCAGGGGGCTGGTGCAGTTTGGGAATGGGCTATATCTCCCATAGTGAAACACCGAGCAAAGGTAGAAAAGAGCGTTTGGTTACTTAACGTAATCCCTGGTTCTTTGATAACAGTGTTTCACCAGCACTTTCATCCTTTGCTTGGGGACCAAAAGAAATCTACTGAGAATGAGTCAGGAGGGGCACGGCTCGACAGATCTGTCATGGACAGACAGGGTGTCACTGGAGCTTCCATAGTTGGTCACACCAAGGTGATTCCCATAGTGAAACATCTCACTCTATTATCAGAGAATCAGGGATTACGTTAAGTAACCCAACATTGCTATTTATATGCAGTAAATATTTGTTTTCTTTTATTTTCTTTTTGTTTTTATTTTCTAGCAAAATCTTCTGTATTTACTCAAATTTGCAGAGCAACAAAAAGCTCATATGAAGCCCAAAATCTGTGAATATCTATTCAGACATGCTACTAAGCTGCAGTTCACAGTATTTTAAAAAAGATACTGTGAACTGCAGCTTAGTAGTTCAATGATGTGAACAATGAAAGTTCATTGATTTAAGTCATGCTACATGCTTTGGGGTCTTTTCTTTCTTTCTCTTTTTTTACACTATGCACTCTATTGTCTTGGTTTGTCAAGGATATGTTGTGTCCTGAAGAAAAGAGTTCAGGAAGCTCCCCCAGTGACATGTCAGCTGATTCAGAAATCTTCAGGTGTGGAAAATAAAAATATGAGAATGCAATATTATCAAAATTATCACCTTCTGTTCAACTGCTTTAAGAAATTGATATTTAATAAAAGATTTCTGTCAACAGTCATTCACAGTTTGACTACGTAGAGAAGCTGGGTAAAGGAGCTTTTGGTCGAGTAGTCAAGGTAAAACATAAACTGGTGGAAAAGTATTACGCAGTAAAGATCATCCGCTGGAACGAGTAAGTGAAGTGTTCTGCAATATTGCATGATTTCACTGCGTGCTTTATTGGTTTATATTGTTACAGTTAGTTATAGTAAAGTTGTATGATTCAGTTTTTTCCCCCCTCTTTGAATTAGAAAAGCTCTACGAGAAGCCATGGCGTTGTCAGACCTCGAGCACCCTAATATCATTAGATACTTCTCGTGTTGGACGGAGGATTCAGGATACCAGTTGGACAGCACTGACGAAAGCTGCAGTACACAGTAAGACTCGTCCACTTGTGAAAGTAATTCTTCGCTTCTTTTGTATCATTTCACTGTTTGATCATTCATCCTGTTTTAGGTCTTCCACTGGTTCACCCAAGAAGTGCCTCTACATTCAGATGGAACTGTGTGACACCAAAACACTTCTAGACTGGATAGAAGACTGGTATACGAAGAAATCAAACTCCAAGAGAAGAGAAGAAAGTCTGACCATTGCTCAGCAGATGGTCAGTGGTATAGAGTACATTCACTCCAAGAAGCTCATCCACAGAGACCTGAAGGTGAGCCAGACGAAGCAGATAACGGGCTAACCACAGGTGTGTGTGTGTGTGTGTGTGTGTGTGTGTGTGTGTGTGTGTGCACGCAGGTTAAAACCTGACAACAAGGTGTAATGTTCGTATGTGACTTGTCGTTTCTAAAATTATTCAGTTTACTCTTTTACCGAAATCCACAGAAACCCAGAGATTCTCACTCATTACTGTTTATTGCAACACCGCACCAACACTCCCACAGCCTCACAGGATGTAACAATTGGTCACATGTTTGCTTTGTTTCATCCGGCTAGCCTGCCAACATCCTGTTTGGGCAGGACACAAAAGTGAAAATCGGAGACTTTGGACTGGTCACTGCTGAGAACGACGACGATGACAAGTCCCCGATCAAGAGAACTGAGGAGAAGGGAACACCATCATACATGGCTCCTGAACAGGTGAGTCCGTCGACATTATTATGCTAATTTCCAGCTGCTTCATTTTATTTTTGGGTTTTACTAGAGTAGCTCTGCGTTTTGAAAAAGTATCCTCTCTTCCTGCAGCTTAGTTCAGTTCAGCCTTCACTTCTGATTGGCTGCTCCTTGCAAACAAAATCAACAGCTAGTTGGGCACACAGATCTGCTTAAAGGTCTGTGTGCCCAACTAGCTGCACACAGATCTGCCTTTAAGCAGATCTGTGTGCATGAGATGACCGTATCAGGAATAACCCTGCTCACTGACATCATACAGAGCAAATAATCTGTCTTAATTAATCCTAAAATTGAATTTCTGTCTCAAAGGGATAACTTCTATATTTCGTAATATCATAATAATCATCAGTTTGAATATATCTGTATCATTGTTATTCAAATTTATTCTACTCTTAAGTGGTATCTGTCACTGAAGCCTTTGATGACTGGATTAGTGAAATGATGGTGACTTCATGAGTACAGGCTGTGTTGTAATAAGTCATGGTGAAGAAGAATTCAGTGTATTGTTTCCTCCACCAAGGACGTTCTGTTTTTGGTAGCGTTTGCATACGTGTTGTTCTGTCTGTAAACACAACAGCTTTAAAACGTTTGAATATATTCTGATGATTTGATTTGTAGACATGTAGAGTGGAGTCATCTTAACAACCCATTCAAATGTGGCATACATCCACCAAGTTCAAGTTTTATGATTTATTGCGACGTATTTAAAAATTTACAAAAAGCCTTATAACTTAGAAACTATGATTCTTATAAGTGTGGTGTGTATCGTCAACATAAAGTATTGTAAAAAGATTTAAAATAAATCATTCTTGACCTCTGACCTCTCAAAGTTCAATAGAGTGATCGGACGTTCAATTGATGATATTTCCATAGAGCTGTTTCTTGAAACTGTTTTTATGGACAACATATAGGGAATCATGCAATATATTTGCTCCTCTGCCTTGACTCGCATATGAACTTGAGCAATATTCAATTCTTAATCTAGAAGATTTGATATGAAGCCATTCTTTGCATCTGGACAAGCAGTGTGTTTATAGGAGTGTGTTTATTGAAAACTGGCTCACATTTACCGCTCTCATCTTTGTGTGGGGGTTGAGGTCAGGACTCTGTGCCAGCCAGTCAAGTTCTTCCACACAAAACATGCTCATCCATGTCTTAATGGACCTTACTTTGTTCGCTGGTGTTGGAACAGGAAGGGTTTATCCCCAAACATTTTCCACAAAGTTGGGACCATAAAATTGTCCGAAGTTTCTCATTATGCTGAAGCATTAGGAGTTCCTTTCACTGGAACAACTTCCTGAAAACCAACCCCACGCCTCCACCAGACTTTACACTTGGCACAGTGCAGCCAGACAAGTACCATTCTCCTGGAAACCACCAAGGTGTGATTCGTCACACCAGAGAACACGTCTCCACTGCTCTAGAGTCCAGTGAAGGCGTATTTTGACTCTGCAGAAAGTCAGCAACCTGTGTGCACTGTGTGCGTCAGGATGTGACTGGAACGTCTGAATTCAGTGATTTGGATAAGTGGTTTAGTACTTTTGGCAATACAGTGTATAAAGAGATTCTAAATAACACATTACTTGATCTCCGATTCCTTCAAAGTCAAATGAGGTCAGACTTTTATAAAATGTCTTTAAAAATATTTAAAACGTTGCTTAAAATTGTACCGTTTGTTTATACGTTTTCAATTTAGGAAATGATACTGGTATATGTGGCTTCTAAATATCACATTATACTTTACATCCAAATATGTCACATTTAACCTTTTGACCTCACTTTTGCATTTTACATCTGCATTTCTTTCACGACATATTATATCTTTAAAGAACACGTCAAGAAAAAAAGATTGAGCTGCTTAGTTAGTTAGAAAATTGTATTATTACATAATTAGCCCGGGGCTCTAATTTCTCAATGATGCAACTAAAAAAAATCATCCAGTCATTTGATTAAAAAGAAGAAAAAAAAGTCTCTGCTACTCTGAAAGTCTCCATGTAATCAACAGCAAATGCACATTATGCCCCTATCGTGGTCTAAACCAATCAGAGATAGTAAGGGAGAGGACCTCTGATTGGTCCTGGTCCAGATATTCCTTTCGGCCTACGTGTGTGTACGTTTGAAAGTTTAGGTGGATAGACGGGTGAGTAGTAGGGCTGGGTTTCAATAGTCGATTTTCCAATTGAAGTGGATTTTAGCTTGAATAACGCAACGTTGATTCATTAAATCCTGAATCAATTTTTAAATATTAATGTTTTTTGCCAGAAAAGCCAGGAGCTTACAAAACTATTTGAACAACCACCAAACAGATAAAATAGTAAATGAGAGCAAGTAAACCGATTCCACACAAAGCCGTAAACAGAGCGTGGAGCCGACGTATCAGTGAGATGACGGCTTTCTTACCTGATGGCACAAACCTGTCGGGGTTGAAAGTCGTCAGCTCACTGATTCTGAGCAACAAGTTTTGTCCGTCTTCGACCAAAATGTACTTCAAGAACAGTTTCCCATCTCAAATCTGTTTTCTGTATTATTCGTTTGCTTATTCCACACCAGTTTACCGTTGTTTACAGCGCTGTCGGGCGCTGTTTTTCTCTTTCCCCCCCCAAAATGACCTCTGACCAGAAATCCTTAATTTTGCTGTTTAATACTGTCAGGGGTTGACAATTATTCAAACACAGTAAGAGAGAAATGAGACACTGGCAGACCGACTCAGAGTTT